AAAATTTGCAAATATTTAAGAAAATCCCCTGTCAAAAATAGCATTCTTCAGAATCACGTGAAACGGAAATACGAGAAAGAATTTAATCTTATTCTTGATTGTAAAACAAGATGGAATAGTTTAGGGGCCATGTTAGAAAGATTTGTACACCTAAAATGTCGTGTTTTAACTCCCAATGACCTTAAATCTTTTCATATGTGGAATGAAGATGAAGAAGAATATTACAATGTTGTAAACTCCTTCAAGTTTTCGGTCCGATAAAATTAGCAGCCGAAGCTTTAGGTAGACAAGACGCAAATTTATTAACAAGTGAAGGGTGAAATACAAAATTTGAAGTCCGAAATTATTACACGCTATAAAGGCACGGGTTGAAGAACGAAGAGATACAGTATTAGTTACACTTATGCTTTATTTACAAAATTCTCAAACTGTTTTAACGAAATCTTCTAATAAATTCTTTCCCTTGGCAACGAAAAGTGAGATTATTAAGTTATCGGGACAAATATTATCAAGATTATATAAAGATTACTCTACAGGGGAAGAATGTGATATTCGAAAACGTGATGAAAGCGATATTCAAGAGCCTGGCAATGTTTTATTGAAAAATGCAGTTAATAAATATTTAAAGGAACCGGAAGAAGTGACTTCCTCTACTCAAACTCTAAGAAAAGGGTATTTGGCCCTGGAAGCCACAAATAAAAGGACAAAAAAATTTAGAATTATTATATCATGCTGTAAAAACGATTAAGCCTAGTTCGGTTGCAAGTGACAGTGGTTTCTATTTTGGGGAATTTTGTGAATAAACTAAGGACACGGCTAAATAGCAAATCGATAGACGTCCTCTGTTTTCTTAAATCATATTTCAATAAACAAAAAAATAAATAGAATATTTAAATTTGTATTAAAATTGCCCGGAATAGAAAATACTTGGTCCTTTGCTTAATTGTCTTTCAAACTAAAACCGATTTTAATAAGTATGTATGCATAAACTTTATTTTCTCTTGTCTTTCGGCTTTGATTATAATTTACATTATATAATACACAGTTATATATTTTGTAATTGTTTTTAATAATATCTGTATATAATAACATTGTTCAAAAAAATAATAATATGGTTATTGCTTTGCTGAATAACTCGTTTCACGATTATAAAAATATTTACATCCTTATATGTGAAAATTATGCATTAAAGTTATTTAATCCTGGTAAACTATTATTTCTTTGTTCTAATAAATTGCATAACAAAATTTACTATCAATAAAATTGAACAGTAAATAATTTCAGCCAAAAACTGCTGAAATTTTCTGTTAAAATTAAAAAAAAAATTAAATCCGGTTTTCTGGAAAAACTACTATTCGAAAACCGGTTTTCTAAAATGTGGATTTTGTATAAACCCTAATATATAGTAGTCACCTTTGTGTCACTCAGTTTTTAATATTAAGTTTGTCTGTTGTATTGGTTTTTCTTCCTACTTTGGCAGTGTGATTCAAACATACGTTTGAAATGATACGCGAGCCTCAGTAAGATTGTCCAGGTTCACAAGGTTCACAAGAACGGATTGCAAGTCTATGAAACATAGATATTTGTACATTTGTGTGAACACCTATGCATTTTTCAATGAGTGCTTGCTGCCCGTACAGAGCTTTTTCATGATGCTCGTGTCCTTTTAGTTTCATAGAAGATTAAAGGGCAATTTTTGGCTTTTCAAAGACATTTGAGCATTAAGCGTTAATCAAACTAAGTGAGGAATGAAAATTGCACACATCCGAAAGCTGTTACTCCCGTAAAAGTCCCTGGAAAGTGTATTTTATCGAATATCTTAACGGAGCGAAGCGACAACAGCACCCTATAACAGCAGTAAGGGAAACCGGCCATAAAGCTCGGGAACGGAAACGACCAAAATTAAAGCACAACTTAATGAGGTTACAAGTTCATAAAGTTGGAACTAATCGGTTTGTTTGGCTTCGATATGGACTGTTTTGGGATTATTCGTCTGTTCGAGCAGTTTTCCGTGTGCCGCAGCCGCTGCTCGATGTTTTTCACCGCATTTTAATTGGCGCGAATTGAAGAAGTGACAGGCTGCGAAATATAACCAACCCTCTTAGGAGGAAAAAGACCTTTCCAGAAAACCTTAAACTTGGGAAT